TTCAGTATGGGGGATTGAACTGAGGACCCTGCACTTACCAGTCAGGCACTTACTTTACTGAGCTATTTCCCCCATCTGAGGAATTTTCTTATAAATCCCAAGTATAGGTAGATGCTAGATTCACAGATAGAGCAGAGTGTCCAAGCTGGGGCTGGGGCCTCCCTACCCAGTTACAGCACATACGCAATTCATGGAGATTGTGTTGGGGTGCATCTTACAGAGGACGCTACTTCGAGCAGCATTTCAATAAATTGTTTCTTCAGCTTCAGTGAACTACAAAGGCTTATCTGGTATTAGGTGTTTACTTACAAGTAATTTTAGTTTTATTGGGAAATACAGTACTCATACTGTTTAAAAAGAAACAAGGTGGGAGTGTGGTGTGCAGGCTGGGGCTATAGCTCTATGAGTAGAGCTTGGGTTCAATCCCCACTGTTAAAAAAAGTAAAGATGATGGACAAAACTTCTGGGTTCTGCTCAGTTACTACCTCCTTTCCTGTGCAGTACCCAGTCTTTCCCTCCTCACTGGCTTGTTTTTCTGCCCTCAGTACTTTGAAGTTCAAACAAAAGCCCTTAGCCTTTTGTTTTCTAATTTGTTAACACAGAGCCCTGCCTAGGACACTTACTTTTATGGAGAAGTTAGCCTCTTTGTTTTTAAGCCCTCCTCTCTGTGAAGTAGATTGTCTTGCTCTGCAGTCCCTTCTCACACAGCAGGGCTCCCTGCCCCCCAGTGGGCTGCTTTCCTGAGGTGTGACTGGCCGAAGGCCATCTCTGCAGACTCAGCAACATAGGTGCCCACGTTCCCCTAAAGCCTCAAGTCAGTGCTGAGACCATGACCAACTCCCTTGGCCAACTTGCATATGAAAAGACAGATTTTCACAATGGGTAAGGCCCTCTTCAAAGTTATCAAAAAGTTAATGTCTTGACCAGAGATGGAACAAAGCCTCTTCTAACTCTGGTTCATGATGCTAAAGAATAGATTTTTTAAATTGCTTGTATGCACAACTGTTACTCTCTTGTTTTTATTTATTTATTTTTTGGTATTAGAAATTGAACTTGGGACCTTGCACTTGCCAGGAAAGCACTGTACTGCTGAGCTATGTCCCTGGCCCCAATCTTATTTTTAAGATACATAGATAGATAGATAGATAGATAGATAGATAGATAGATAGATACTCTTTAATGGGGGTGGATGTTTTCTGATGCAGACTGACTGGTGTTCACAGCAGCATCTCAACCTCATGGCCACAGGTGAGTGTACAAATGTTGGCTGTTGAAGCTAATTACCTGTTGAGGTTTATGTACTGTTATTTTTCTCCTTGGTGGCTGTTCATTTTCTGGTAATGATGGTACCTGCAATGTTTTTTTTTTTTTTTTTGGCAGTAAAATGTCAGTCTGCTTTACTAGTGAAGAATGTAGACTGTTTTAGATATGATTTAGATATGAACAGTAAGTGCAAACAAACTTTATAGGTCACAAGCCTGGTAGGTCACAAAGTAGAAAGTAGAATAAAAAATATTCTACAGTAGAGCTGTAGAAGATACAGATTTAATCATGTCTGACCACTATGTCACCAAGTCCCTTCTCATTCACAACAAACAACAAATACTTCCTTGTGATACTTCTCACTCATCTATAACTTTTGAGGGCAGGGATCTTGTATTTTACAACTTTGTGTTCCTAGTGCCAGTCTAGGTCCTGGCATATGGCAACTAGACAGTTCATGTTTACTGAATGGATGAATGAATGAACTTTCCTATGGCTTTGGATTTCTCCATCTGTAAAGTATGTGTGCAGGTACCTCCATAGGTAAGCATTCGGAGAGGTCTGAATACAACACACATACAGACATTACTCCTTTAAACTGTGAGAGTCATTAGAGCAAGGAATTCACTGAGCAGACTCTTGAGTATCTCTTGAGTACAACAGAACTGAACACTATTTTCCCTTTCAAAGACTATATTTGGATAGGAGCTAGAGCCAATAAATTAGTTTGACTGATTTTCTTTGCTGGTATAGTTCACTTAGAAGATAACAAATGAAAACATTATGAAGAGATTTGTTTATAGTGCTGTTCATTCTTATAGTGCTTATTACATGTTATGTTGAAAATACTACTTAAAACAAAATTTTTAGTGTTTGTGTTTTGTTCTTGGTACTGGAAGTTGACTGAGGGCCATTCTAACACCCTTATTTTTCAGATAAGGCCTCATAAAATTATCCAGCTTGGCCTCAAATTCTGTCTTACCTCCTGAAATTGGTGGGATTATATGTTGTGCCTCTGCTCCCAGCTACTTGCTTTTATTTTATTTTTTTTATGTATTTAACTTTTATTTTCAGTACTTTTATATTATAGAAAAATTGCTTTTTGTTATTTTCATGCAAAAATATTTTAAGTTGATTAAAAAGAATTTTTGCCTGCTTATTAAAAAGAACTAGGTTCTTCTTGAAAGTGTAGTTTGTGCCTCTGGAATAAAATTAGAAAAAAAGAACAATACAGAGAAATATTCCCAAATTCCTCAAGGAATAGTGGTTTGATAAATGAGAACACCAAAATATTCATATTTAAGAAAATATACTTTTTCTTTTCTTGCCTTCTTTCTTCTTTTGTCTGAACAGAGGCCTCACCGTGCTGCCAGGCTGGCCTGGAGCCTCTGGGCTCACGTGATGCTCCCGCCTTAGTTCCTACGTAGCTGGAACTGTAGGTGTGCACCCTAGCGTCTGGCTGTGCCTTCCATTTTGATTTGTCCCCCACACAAATCCATTTCCCAGAAATAAGTGGAAAGTCAGAAATATTAAAATTACAGATAAGTAAAACAAAGGAAAGTGTCCATGTGGTAATATTTGTCCAGATGTGTCAGTTTTATATGTAAAATATGAATAATAACCAGTGTTTTTTTTCTTTAGATGGGTAGCCTATGAAAATCCTGACTTCACAGGAGAACAGTATGTTCTTGATAAAGGCTTTTACACCAATTTTGAGGACTGGGGAGGCAAAAATTGTAAGATCTCTTCTGTTCAACCCATATGTTTGGTAAGGAATATTTTTGTATAAGAATATGTAACTGAATTTTGGATTTCTTGAATTTTGCTTCTGGTTCATGTAATATTAATTGCTACAAAGAATATTCTGAGGCTACTTTAGCAGTAATTACTAATGGCCTGGAAGAAAAACCTTTTCAACATGTCTGCTCTATTTTTTTCTCTTTCTTTTAAAATTTTATAGGATTCTTTTGCTGGCCCCAGGAGACAAAATCAGGTAACTTTAAAAATACTCTTTATTTTTTATATTAGGGACTTTCCATTGAAAAGGTGAACCTAATTAAAAATCGTTAAACATTTGAGACATTTAGTTGTGTTACTCATTTTTATACCTGAAAACATATTTTTTTTTGTTTTTGTTTTGGTGTTAGGGATTAAACCTAGATATCTTTTAAATAAAAATTTTGGGGGGATTTTTTGTTTTGTTTTTGAAATAGGGTATCACTACATAGTTCTAGCTGGCCTTGACCTTACTTTATAGCCCTGCCTCAGCCTCCCAAGTGCTGGGATTACAGGTGTGTACCACCATGCCTGGCTAATACAAGATAAATTAAACTTTAATGCTTTATAGCACTGACCCATACCTAGATATTTTTTGTCAGTTACTCATTATGTAAAGCTAAATTTTATCACTACATTGAATAAATTTATATCAGTATTTCAAACAGCATAGTTATTGTGATAAATAGTAAAATCAATTTTCATATTTCCTAGGTCTGCATTAGACAAATATTTTATATGGTTCACTCAAGCCTTTTGATTGATGAGACTCAAATCAGC